TGTATGTATGTATGTATGTATGTATGTATGTATGTATGTATGTATGTATGTATGTATGTATGTATGTATGTATGTATGTATGTATGTATGTATGTATGTATGTATGTATGTATGTATGTATGTATGTATGTATGTATGTATGTGTGTATGTATGTATGTATGTATGTATGTATGTATGTATGTATGTATGTATGTATGTATGTATGTATGTGGGGGAGAGGAGATGTGGCAGAAGGAGGAGGGTCTGAAGGAGAGCTGCAGCGAGTCCGGCAGCCGTAGCAGTCCAGGGAGGGATAGAGAGGAGGGGAGGGAGGGGAGGGAGATGAGGGAGGGAGAGGAGGGAGGGAGAGGAAGGGAGAGGAGGGAGGGAGGGAGGGAGAGGAGGGAGGGAGAGGAAGGGAGGGAAGAGGTGGAAAAACTAGGAAAAGTGCAATGGGCAAACTCAACCCCCCACCCACCCCCCACCCCCCACCCCCTCACAGTGTTACGTCCAGGCCCCCCACGTCCACCCCCAGCTCCAGGGCGTTGGTGGCGGCCAGGGCCAACAGCCGGCCGCTGTGCAGGTCGGCTTCCATGGCCCGCCGCTCGGAGGGGCTGTAGCCGGCACGGTACACCTGAACCGCCGTACATACACAGACACATGCACATATACGGGGGGGAATAATATGGCAAAACCTGAAGAGAGCGCCTCGTGCCGCTTTCAGGGGCAAACCCCCATCCCTTTTCCTTTGCCCCGCATGACACATACGCTACATACAGACGTATGAACGGACAGACAGACAGACTTTCACCCTCTCTTGCCCTCGTCTCCCCCACCACCACACACAGGCACGTACCTTTTATAAAAGCCGCCGTGCATCCTTTCCATCTAAGATGCTACCTGACCCGGCGGCATCACCCGACATCATAACCGGGCAGAAAAATCAAAACCACATCACCAAAAATTAAAAACACGCACACGTACGACAAAAACCCACACGCGCACCTTCACTCGCTCCGTATATTCCGGCGCACACGCCGCCAGGATTTCCCTGGTGTAGGCCGTCACCAGCTCGCACAGCTTGCGGCTCTTACAGAAGGCGATGGTTCGTAGGCCGTGTTGTACACACTCCGCCAGCAGCAGCGCCACCTCCACTATGGGGCTCTCGCGCTGCTGCTCCAGGGGGGTGCCCGCGGCACCGTGGTGCTCCTTCCACTCAGGACCTGGCAGCTGCGCCAGCAGCTGACGGACGACGGCGGAGTCGGCGGCGGCGGCGGCGGCGGCTGCCGGCGGCTGCAGGCCCAGTGCGGCAGCGGCGGCGGAGAGACCGCTCGTGCGGACGATCACAGGGCGAGAGGGGGGCGGCGGTGGAGCCGCCGCCGGGGCCCCCGGTGGCGCAGCGGTAGCGGCAAGACGGCTGGCGGGGGAGGTAGCCAGGGAGGGTAACTGAGGGAGCCGGCGGCCGCCGCCGCCGCCGCCGCCGCCACCGCTGCTGTTGACGTCAGCAGCGGCACTCAGCGCAGCACGCGCCTGTGCCGCCACGGCCGCCACGTCACCCGCAGCCGCCTCCGCCACCCACGGCCGCTGCTTCCCACCCCTGGACCTCCCTTCCCCCGGCGGAGAGCGCGGCAACGGAACGGGTTTCCGCTTCCGCCGACGGCCTGCCTCCTGCCGTACAGCGTCCCACAAAGGCCCCACTTGCCGCTGCCGTACCTCTTCCTCCTTAACCTCAATATTCCCTCCAACTACAGCGCCAGAAGGTTCAGCTCCTCGCAGTCCAGAACGGTACTTCATGAAGCCGTGAAAATTTGACCGCGTCCAGGGTCTTGTTTCTTCACCGCGACCGGGATTTCAGATATTTCTTCCGCATGGGGGTCACCGCCGCCGCAGTCCGTACCGTTGTCGTTGTCGCTGTTACCGCTAGTGTCGGTGCTACTGCTACTGCCGCTACCGCCGCCGCCGGTCGCGGCGCCGTGCTGCCTGGAAGCAGCGGCTGCCGCCGTCACGAGCTCAACCGCCGCCGCCACCGTTGCCGCCTGGACCTCCGCCAGGCGACGCTCCGCTGTATGACGCTGCCGCGGGCTGCCGCCAAACAGCGCCTGTTTCAGCTCCCGCAAAGGCTGCGCCGCCGCCGCCAGCTGCACCATCTCTGCCTCCATCGCCGCCGCACCGCCGCCGCCGCCAGCTAGCCGCTCTGCCGCCAGCTGCGACGCACGCGCGCGAGCAGCTCTCGCCTCCTGCAGCAACTTCCGCTGCCGCGCTCGCTCCGCCTTTCGAGTTATCCGCCCCGCCGCGCGCGCCTCCGTACGACTCATAAGCCCATTACCCCTCGTCGCCGCCGTCGCCGCCGCTGCCCGTACCGCCCGTGCCGTCAACGGCGGGTTCCAAAGCACAAAGCGCCGTAACGCACACGGTGAGCCGTTACGCTCCGGACCCACAAGCGCCACGTCATCCTCGCTAACGCCCACCAACCGCGCCGCCATCTGCAGCGGATTCGCCACCGTGGCGCTGGTGACAACGAACCGTGGGTCGGAGCCGTAGACGCAGCTGCAGAGACGCCGCAGGCGCCGCAGCACCATGGCCGTGTGGCATCCGAACACGCCGCTGTATGCATGTCCCTCGTCCACCACCACCACGGCCAGCTTTGCCAGCAGGCGGGCGAACTGGCGATGTGACGGCAGGAGGGTGACGTGCAGCATGTCGGGGTTGGTGAGAATCACTTGGGCACGCAGCCGGATGTCAGTACGCTCCGACATGGGCGTGTCGCCGTCGTACACCTGTCGAGACGAGATTAATTAAAAGGGTTTTATATAAAGGTTCTATATAAACACATGATGATACGATTAATAAAAATTTGGATTCAAATTTCGTTTGGAGATCCTTTAAAACAATGACGGTTAGTAAAAAAGCCCATAAACGCCCCCGTACGGAGTCTGCCTCCGTACCTACCTCCACCGCGGGCACCCCAGCTCCCGTAAGGCCCCCGAACGCCGCCTCCACGAGCTCCCGGATCACCCTCAGCTGGTCCTGCGCCAGGGCCTTGGTGGGGAACATGAGCAGCGCGCACGTGTCCGGGTCGTCGCACATAGCCTGGGGGGAGCGGGGGGAGAAGGGGGGAGAAGGGTGGAGAAGGGGGGAGAAGGGGGGAGAAGGGGGGAGCGGGTGGAGAAGGGTGGAGAAGGGTGGAGAAGGGTGGAGAAGGGGGGAGAAGGGGGGAGAAGGGGGGAGAAGGGGGGAGAAGGGGGGAGAAGGGGGGAGAAGGGGGGAGAAGGGGGGAGAAGGGGGGAGAAGGGGGGAGAAGGGGGGAGAAGGGGGGAGAAGGGGGGAGAAGGGGGGAGAAGGGGGGAGAAGGGGGGAGAAGGGGCGATGAGTGAGATAACCGCAGGAAAATTACGTAATAATGACGGCCATGTAGGCTGGGCGATATATTCTTGTTGACGATGATAATACACTGATACTGATAATAATCATGATCATGGCATTCCCTCCCTCCTTCCTTCCCCTCCCCCTGCCCTCCCACCCCCTTCCTCTCCCCACCCCCTACCTGCAACATGGGTACCAGGTAGCACAGCGACTTGCCACTGGCGGTGGATGTGGCCACCACCACCACACGGGGACACCGGGTCCGGGGGGGAGTGGGGGACCGAACACCGGGCTGGGGCTCATGTGGGGAGCGTGGATGTTGGAGAGAGATCTGCTGCTGCTGCTGCTGCTGGTCCGACTCCTGTTGCTGCTGCTGCTGGTGCTGCTGCTGGGGGTTAAGGAAGCCGTCCTGTTGGTGGTGATGGTGATGGTGATGTTGGTGTTTGTCGTACTTGTCGTACCCCAGGAGGGCATCAACCGCATCCGCCTGGTGTGTGTACAGCCGGCCCCCCGGTATGCCCAGGGACTGCAGGCCCCGCAGCACGGGGGGGGACAGGGGGGCGGCGGGGGGGGCGGTGGCGGCGGGGCGGCCGGGGATGACCTCCACATGAACCACCTGCGACATCCAAAGCGTGTGTGCGGGAGTGGAGGGTTGTATTAGGATTTGCAACGCAGGGAGTCACGTCCATTGATATACTATTTTCCCATGTATCGCCCCGTGGTAACCAGTCCTCCAGTTCCGCAGTAACCCCCTCTCCTTCGCCATCACCACATCCCCTCACAACCCCTCACATCCCCTCACATCCCCCACCTGTCCCTGATACCAGGGCAGCTCCTGAAGGTGATTCAACAACTCCAGGGACGTCAGTGGATTCGTTGCCGTACAGGGCTCGTACTGCTTCAGCAAGCTGGGTGGCCGTGGCGCCGCACCGGCACGTGGCCCAAACCCTCCGCCGTCGTCGCCGCCGCCGCCGCTGCCGCCACCGCCCGCCGTACCAGCACTCGCTCCCGCCAGCAGCGCCCGCCGCACACGTACCCGGGCCGCTGCGGAGCGGAGCTGCTGTTCCGAGAAGGCGTCCCGTCGCCGCAGCAGCTCGCCCCGGAACACCGGGTGCCAGGTGCGGCGGGAGATGGGGTCCCAGGCGGCGGATGTGGACTCCGCCGCCTCCGAGGAGACGGCAGCCGCTACGGAGGCGGCGGTGGCAGCGGCAGCCGCCGGGGCTCCATCCTCCGATGTTTTACCTGCGGTGTTGCCGCAGGAGGTGCATTCAGCAGCGGCAGCTCCACGGGCGGCGGCTGTGTTGGCTGTCCTGGCAGCGGTGGCGGTGGCGGTGGCGGTGGCGGTGGCGGCCGCAGTAGTTCCTCCTCCTGCCGCCCCCCCTCCTGCCGCCCCCGCCAGTCGCTCCGGGTCCAGTCGGCTGAGGAAGTCCTGGTGCAGCTGATCCACCACGGAGACCAGTCCGCGGCGGAAGGCAGCCTGGCGCCTGGGGATGTAGGCAGGAGGGGGGGAAAGGGGAGGAGGAGGAGGAGGAGGAGGATGGGGAGGATGTTAAGGAGGTGAGGTAGGAAGGCGAGGTCCGAGGTGGGGACCTCCTCCTCTTTCCCCCTCAGTCCTCGGCACCCCGGGGCCGCCGTCCGGGCTCTTGAAGTGCCACTGGGGGCCCCAACTGGGGGCACTGGGGGGCACTGGTGGGGAGGCGGCACACTCACGACTGACCGGCTGCTCATTGACGCCCCTCCTTACGTCTCCTTCACACGTGTACATACATACACATACACATACACAGATACACACACACCTGGTTAAAACGTTGGTGGCGAAGCGCAGCCTCCTGCCCGCCTCCAGGACAACGGCGGGGATGTGCGGGGGAATCCTGAGGGCGCCTGGGGTTGGGAAAGACGAACCACGTGAGAAAGAGTGAAGGTGCTGCCAGGGCAAAAGAGTGTACACCAGACGTAGAACTGACCGAAAGGCGTTCTTGAAGTGCGGCGACCTTGGGTTGGGACCCCGAAGTCATCGTCATCATCATCACACTCGTGCAGGAAGAGACAAGCTGCCGGAGTAAGAGGATAAAGGAGGTGGTAACACACGAGCACAACGGAGGTGATAGGACACCGGGGGGGCCGAGGTAGGGGGACGGGATAGGGGGGACTTTGATGAGGGCCATCAAAGGGCTGTTTCATCTCAGTCGCTTCTTATAGCAGATGCAGCTACACCCCCACCCCCATGAAGCCAGTCCCCAAGCCCGCAACCCCGCTTCATCTTTAATAATAATTTTTGTGTGTCTGTGTGTTTGATGGCATGCAGCGGTTCTTTTATGTGTGTTTTTTGACCACCAGGTAACGAGACGTGTGACAGCACCCAGCACACTGCACTACCGCCTCATCTCGAACCCACCGTCATTACGTAGGAGCCGCCTCCCACACCTCCTCGCTGCCGTCGCCTCCTTGCCCTCCGCCTCCGCCTCCTCCTCTTCCTTTTCCTCCTCTTCCATTGCCGCCATATCACCGCCTCCGCCCCTCCGCCTGTCCTCCTCCTCCTCCTCCTCTTGCTGCTCCCCCTCCTCCTCAGCGGTCGCTGCCTCGTTTTTTTCTTCGTACATTAAGAGCGAAGCCCTGATATGCGGTCCAGTTTTTTTTTTAGTTCTGACTACATACATACATACATACATACATACATACATACATACATACATACATACATACATACATACATACATACATACATACATACATACATACATACATACATACATACATACATACATACATACATACATACGTGCAAAGTGAAAGAGACACCACAGCCGACGCACACACACACAAACGGGATAGAGGGAGGCAGGGAGGAAAAGACGAACCACGAACGAGTGAAGCTGCTGCCAAGGAAAGAGTGTACCAGAAGTAGAACTGACCAAAAAAAGGCGTTCTTGAAGGCGGCGACCTCGGGATGCTGTAGTGATGATGATGTCGGAAAAACTACCTACCTAGCCGCCAAGACTAAAACAAGCGCAGAAGAAAAGCAGTAGAACGTAGCCGTAAGAAAGTAAAGGTAGGTATTTTCGCCTTTTCCGGCGAAAAGGTTGTGGAAAACTGCTGACGTGAGCTGGAAAAGAATGTTTGCCGCCGGCCTGGCGGCGGCATTGACGAAATTGGAGCAAAGCTGGCTGATAAGCTGGTAATAAACAGCTGATGACATGCAAGTGCTCCTCCCACCACCCAAAAAAAACACTCGCCCCACCTCGCCCCGACCCGGAACTATCCTAGTCCGGCTATAGCCGACCAACGCCAACGCGATATACACCGACAAAGCACTCGAACCTCCCTTCGGACTCGGGGGCAGGGAGCGAGAGGAAGAGGCATTCGGCGTTCCCCGTACAGCCGGTGGTGGTGGCGGTGCGGAAAGCGCCGACGTACGATACCAAAGCACACAGCCGCACCGCACACGCACACGAAGCGACAGGGCGCATGTGCACTGCACGACGAGGAGGAGACGACGCTGTGTATAATTCTTGGGTTGCTTGCGTGACTGTACGGCTGTCAGCACCATGTCACTGTACGGCTGTCAGCACTGCTCGATGCGCACCGCATCACAACAGGACGGACAATGCCGTACAGCCGTACAGCGCAGCAATGGGAGCTTTAGCACCTCGTCCCCTTCGTTCCCAAAGAAGGGGAAACCAGAGGGGAGCCCGACTTCGGTTCTCCCTTTGGGGGCAGCTGCGTCATCATCATCACCATCACCATCGCTTGGCGGACGTCGCGCGTCTCTCGGAAGTGGAACTCCTTCGCCGCCCCGCCCTTGGGGGGCAGCTGCGTCATCATCATGTAGTTTCCCCTCCTGCCCCTCCGTCCCCTCCCGCACTCGTGAGTCGGTATATATGTCTATCCGTACCGCGACAGACGAAAAATCCCAAACCCCCCCAACCCCCACCTGCCCGGATCTATCAGCTCCACCGTAACAACGCCGCTGCCGTACACCGTTGTCGTACCGCTACCACCGTCTTCCTGCCCTGCCGATGGCTCCGCCGTCGTCGGCTCCGTCAGCTGCTTATCCAGCTGTACGGCTCGGTCCGCCAGGCAGTCCTGCCGCCAGCCCTGAGCCGCCAGCAGCGTGTGATGGACGCGGCCTCCTCCTCCGCCGCCGCCGCCGTCGTCGTAAATGGCGCCGCTGGTGCTGCCGCCGGCGGCACTGGCTGGCGCCGCCGCAGCCCCCGTCCTGCGGGTGGCCCCTACCCGCGTGACCAGCAGCAGCACCTCGGGCACCAGATCTGCGGCTAACAAGATGTCTCCCAGGGCCACTTGGAGGTGCGGCAGCTGCCGCTGCAGGGCCTCACGCATGTTGTGCCACGTCATCTGATGGCGAGCAGGGCAGGGCAGGCCAGGGCAGGGCAATCAAAGGAGGTTTTTATTGTGAGGTTTTAGGTTGTTTTGAGAGTTTAGGAGGTTTTACATTTCGATTTGTGGAACGATGCAAGGGGGGCGGGAAGAGGAGGGAGGGTAGAGCTCAGATTAAGTAAAATCTAAAGGATTTGAAAAATGGAAGTGGATGGTGGTGGAGAAGGGCGGCGGGGGGAGAAGGGTTTATTGGCGGACGAGAGACGGGGTGGGGGTGGGGCAGGAAGGGCAGAGTCGGAAAAGCAGTCAGGGGAGCCCCGTAGAACCCGAGGGTCATCCAGACCCTCATACTCACGCACCGCGTTCCCAGCCCTTAACCCCCATTCCCTCCCCTTCCCCTCCCCTTCCCCTCCCCTTCCCCTCCCCTCCCTCCCCTCCCCCCACCTCCCCCCCCACGCACCTGCACCTGCTGGCCAAGCAGGAACGTATACAGCGGGTTGAGGCACTCGAAAATGCGCTCAAGTCTCTCCAGGGCGGGGGGCAGCGGCAGCACACAGTCCGCCACGGCGCGATCGAACTGCGGACCGGAACGGGGGTACGACACCTTCGGCCGGTGGCGGCTGCCGCCGCTACCGCCGCCAACGCAGGGTCCCCCTGTGGTAGTGTCCGGAACACCCGGTAAGCGGGCTGCGACGGCGACGGCGGCGGCGGCGGCGGCGGGGGCTTCCTGTTCCGCATGTTGAGCCGCCGGCGCCGGCACCACGTCTGTCGGCATGTCGCGTCGCTTCCGCTTGGGCGTCCTCCCTTCCCGCGTCTCGTCGCGTGCTTCGGAGAGGCTCCGCCGCTGCCGCTGCCGCTGCCGCTGCCGCTGCGGCCGCTCCGGTACCTCAACGGCGTAGCAGCGACGCGCAAGAGCGCCGTTGCCATTGTCATCGCCGTTGTTCCTGTCGCCGCCCCGCTCGCCATCCCCTCTCCCAAAGCTCCCGTCCGCCGCCGCCACCCCCGCCACTCCTGGCTCTGCCTCCGCCGCCGCCGGGCCTGCCCTACCCGTCCTTGGCAGCGGGGCGGCTTCCAGCTCCGCCTTCAGCTCCGCAAACAGGTCGTCGTGCAGTAGCGGCGGCGCTGCCGTGACCCCCCTCTGGGGCCTCCGGGTCCCCGCACGGGCGGCTGACGTCTGATGACCCCTACCAGATGGCTGCGGTTGCGGCTGTAGCGGCTGTAGCACTTCTTGCGGTTTTCCCGTGGCTCCCGGCGACCGGTCTACCCCCAGGTACCCCGCTCCGCCCTCCCCAGTTAGACCCCTGTCCCTGTCCCTGTCCCTGTCCCTGTGCGGGTGCGGGTGTACGGAATGCCCAGCGGGGTATTGAGGACCATGGCTCCCACATGGTGGCGGTGCTGCTGCGGCTGCCGGCACCCGCCCTGGCGGGGTCCCTGGCTGGCCCTGTCCTTGCCTTTGCCCCTGCTGCTCCTGGCCCTGCTCCTGGCCCTGCAGCAGAGGCGCAAATGGCGTCTGCGGCGGACGCTCCAGCGGGGGGAAGGGTGCGCGGGGCTTGGTGGGAGTGCGGTTCGGTCGGGACGCGTAGCCGGGGAGCAGGGTGATAAGGCCCTCGCCAGCGTACGGCACAGGCTGGTCGGCGCTGAAGGCGAGGAGTTCTGACGGCTCGCTAATCTGTTGGGTCGGGGTGTCTATGGGGGGCGGCCGGGGGCGGGGTCGAACCGCAGTAGTGGCAGCAGCAGCAGTGGCAGTAGCAGTAGCAGTAGCAGCAGCAGCAGCAGCAGCAGCAGTAGCTGCACCGCCGGTAATTGTTTTCGCTGTCGCTGCTGCTGGCACCGCAGAAGAAGGCCCCGCCGTCACAGCGCTGCCGTTGCCATTGCCGTTACCGTTATTAGCGGTCCTGGCAGGGTTCTTGGCACCGCCTTTGGCACTGGCAAGCGGCAAGACAGTCTTTGGAGCACCAGGTCCATGGCGGAGGTTTCCGCCGAGATTGGGGAAGCCACGGAGGCCGGGAGAAAGCGGAAACGACGGGGTGAGGGGAGCCGAGGAGGGAGGGGCGAGATTCAACGGGGATGGAGGCGTTTTGCGGGGGGAGATGCATGGGGGGGAGAATTGCAACGGGGGGCACAGCAGGAGGAGCGGTGGCGAGGTTCGGGCTGGAGAAAGGGCAAGGGGGATGACTTACGCGTCGGTGGGTTTAAGATGAAGGAAAAGGTTCGGGATGCTGGTAGCAGTGTGCCTGATTGCTATGCGTTACTGGAGGTTCAATGGCTTAAGCGGGGGAAACCGGCTTGGGTGGGGAGCACGCGGGATGCTGTGACCAAGGCATGGAACTGTTATTGACATGGGAAAGGATAGCAAGCCGCTTCGTTGCGCACCCACCAGGAAATCGTGGGGTCCCAGTTCCAGCGATGAGAGCGGGGTGGAGTCCGTTACTGTCGCTCCCTGAAGGGGTCCATGCGTCAACTTAGCGACGAAACATGTGCCAAATGCGTGGGAAAGGCCGTGATGTGGCCTTCTTACCCTGCAAAAGATTTTGAACCGGGAAAGCTGAGGATTGAGCGCCGTGACCTTTCTTCGTAAGTCCGCGACGGTATCGCCATCGCGCTCGACCTCCAACTTGGCAGACCATCCCGTTAAGCTTCGAACGTTGATGCTTTTCACCATCTAATACCGGTGCGTCAGCGCAGGTGCTGCGTTATCGTAGGACTTGACGCATGGCGTGCGTGCTGTGAGTTTGTGCGACTGTGAAGGACAAAGGGCAATGGCTCTGCAGCATAAGCACGCATCAACAATGATACTCTTCATTAAATATTTTTATCATGCCACTGGTTATTTCATTTCCCTTGTCTCGCACGTAGTCGTCCGTGCAAGGTGCAACTATAAGACCTTTGGTTCTAACCAGCTAGCATCGTCGAAGGTAACTTTAGGTCCATAAGATATTACATGTCTGATTTTCTATATTTACACCTATTATCCTGAATTAGAGATCTCGGACGAACGTGAGGTCCACCGTGGAAGTCTCCATCGGAACGCAACCTCATCCCATTTCTCAAGCTCGCACATATCGCCAAATCGCTACAATCGTACACACTTGTCTCATGAGGCTGCAACCGGGCCTACCTGCTGGCACCGGGCCGCTCCGAAGTCGCCATGTCGTACGTGCCACCGCGAAGGGCGTCACCGATTCCCGGCCCCAGCCTCCCTTCCTGCCTCCTCGCGAGTCCCGCCAACTCTACACCTTCACTGAAATCCACGGCTCGGAGGAACGCGACCTTCTGCCTTCACCACCATCAAAACCCAGCCAACCCACCCCTTCCTCCTCCTCCTCCTCCTCCTCCCTGCCCAGCTCCTCCCCCGCCCCTGGAGCCTCCCCAAGCCCGCTATCCTCCATTCCAGACAGCATCCGCGACCTCTTCCTTCCGCCGGGCTTCCCCGACTCCGTCACACCCGACTACCTGCCGTACCAACTGTGGTCGTTACCCACCCACGTGACCGGCCACCTGTCCCACTCTCTCGCCACGTCCTCACTGCTGACCGCTGTGGGTGTGAGCACCTCCCCAGCCGCCACTGTGGCCCTGTCCGCCTCCATCAAGTGGATCATTAAGGACGGGGTGGGGGCCCTGGGCCGCTTCATAGTGGGCAGGTGGGTAAGGCAGGGATGGAGAGGCTGGGATGGATCCAATCAAGGACGTTAGGATCCAGGGATGGATCCAACCGTGCGGATCTGAAGCTGGATCCTACCGATGGGCGTGTAGTGTACCACCCGAGGGACTACGCGATGGCAAAGAGCATTGTGTCGTGTGGCTGAAGGAAAGACGGTCGTAAGGGTTTAAAGGAATGTTTGTCCTGGAAGAGCAATCCAGGAGGGGTTCACTGCGGCATACATCCCCATACATACATACATACATACAGGCAGACAGACAGACAGACAGGCAGACAGACAAACACGAGACATTTGACCGCACACCCCCACATCCACACCCGCACGCAGCCGCTTCTCCGCCGAGTTCGACGAGGATCCCCGACGCTGGCGGCTGGTGGCGGAGCTTCTGAGCACCGCGGGACTGGGGCTGGAGGTGGCCACCAGCCTCTACCCGCAGAGCTTCATGCTGCTGGCCAGTGCGGGGAAGTTCGGCCAGGTGATAGAAGTGGGAGCCCCCTAGGTTTGTGTGGGGTCGGGGGGAGGGGGGAAGAGATCTGGTCAGGTGATTGGGGGGTTGGGGAGCTCGGCCCGGTAAGAGCGCACAACGTTACATGCAGATACACACATGCACGGACTGGTCACTGGTGTAATTCACACGCTACACGTCACGCACACACACGCATACACATTTTCCACTCGCCCTCTCCTTTCCCTATCCCTCCCCCCTCCCGCCCGCCCCACGCAGGCCCTCGGCAAGGGCATGGGCAAACCCGTGTTTCGTGTGATCCAAACCCACTTCGCCCGGTCCCAGAACGTGGGCGCCGTGGCCGCCAAGGAGGAGGTGTGGGAGGTGGCGGCACAGATGGTGGGCCTTATGGCCAGTGTGGCGGTGCTGCGGACTCTGGAAGGAAGCGCGGGTTAGTGCAAGCGGGAGGGGGAGGGGAGGGGAGGGGAGGGGAGCCTCCGGCCCTAGGGTCAGGACGGTAGGGTAGGGGTACGGTACGGTACGGTCCATGGCACGGAGGGAAGGCACGACAGGGAGTGAGGGACGGGCCAAATAGGGAGAGGCTGGGGGAAACATTATAATGCATGCAAAGGAAATTTTATTACCATGGTCTTACTATTCAATTACCAAGGTCTTGAGTCCCAAGCTGCAAACAAAGTACACGTTTGCGCGTGTCGTGTACTGCGTGTTGGTGTCATCAGTGTTGTGTAAAAGGGTGTTGTTGCCGAAGACGTGTCGTACAACTAGTAAAACCACGTCAACAAGAAAAATATGGTGTAAGTAGGTATGTCGGTTCCGTCAGGGGACTCCATCGGGACACATACCAAGCCTGAGCGCGTGCTGTTGCGCCCGCGCGTGTGCTGTCTTCTTCGGTCGGTCGGCCCTCCTCCTCCTTCTCCCCGTCCTTTCCTTTGCTTACTCTGCTTCCTTTGCCTGCTCCGCTTCCTTCCGCTATTGAATTCATTTTGTTTTTCTATTATTCTTCACTCATACCCGACCCGACGACTGTGCTCCTCCAAACGTACATATTGCCTATTGATTCGTATTCAGGCAGCGCCGACGGCGTTGTGAACACCTGGGCCGCTGTACAGCTCGTCCATGTCGTACTCCGATACCAGGCCCTACGCACGCTACTTTTCCCAACGCTCTCCCTCAAGCGAACCGCCTTGCTGGCCTCAGCTGCCGTACGCGGCGCGTCGCTGCCGAGCGTGGCGGAGGCCAACGCGCAGGAGCCGGTGTTCGCCGACCCATGGGACGTTCAGCCGCGCGTTAGACTGGGAGTCACGGCGGTGGAGGCCTTTGGCGGCGCGCTGCCGCCGCCGGGGGTAATGCAGGAGTACGCGGCGGTGTACGGCAGAGAGGGCTATCTTCTGGTTTGGCGGGAAGGCACAGCTTACGTCATGCTCAAGGAGGAACACACGCAATCGGATCTTCTGCGGGCGGTGTGGCAAGCGGCGTGGCTGGATTGGCGAACGACTGGCGGCAGCGGCGGCGGCGGCGGCCGCCGCGCCACTGACGGGGAAGGCGGTAGCGACGGGGGTGGTGCAGGGGTGGGGGCGTGTGAGGGCGGTGTAGGTGAGGAGGCGCTGCAGTTGGTGCGTGCCAGTTTGGAAGCTCTTGAGGCGGGTTTTGGAGCCTTCTTGGCGGGCTGTAAACGTGTTGGATGGGAGGTGGGGGTGGTTCAGATGAAGGTGGGGCGCAGCAGGCTGCGTGTGCGAGCTGCGTGTGCATCCGCGGGTGAGGAGGGACAGGTGGAGAAGGCAGGTGGAGAAGGAAGCAGTGGCGGCGGCACGGGCGCGTAAAGGTCGAAAAGGCTTGTGTTCGCATGCGTGATTATCTTATAACATTTAATTAATAAAAATAATATTAATGAAGATATGTGTGCAAATCTCTGCTGTTGTGTGCAGAGTTAACTTGCAAAGGCATTTCGTTACATACTCGGTCGTGGAGCTCGACTGGGGTCACTCTTCAATCCATGCAAAAGGTAGGAAGAAAGGGCGATCTCGCACGTCTTTGTGATTGCAGGCTTTAAATGTTTAATTTTTTGAACCGTTTCTTTTTTGTTTGTAAGAAAAGATGGCGAGAGGGTTAAAAAGGTAATCGTTTCTTATGATTGGTTTTCCCGTGCGGTTTTCCTTGTCCTGTCCTTGAAGAGTGCAGTGCCGTGCGGCTCCTGGAAAAGCTTCAAGAAGCCCTCTACACGTACTGCATTCATTCCAAGCGTGCTCGCGCTTACGTGGTGCTGTGCGTGCTCCCCTGTCGCCGCCAATTAAATTTCCGTAGAAGATACTCGTCGTCGTGAGCTCCCCGGCGCCCTCCGATCCAGCCGGGGGGAAGGAAACGCGATAACATCCAGAGCTAAATCTGTCCCCTCAGACTTCGCAACACAACACAACATTCGTTACACCTCCTGCAACACACATACACATACACACATACACACACACAAACACTTTTGCTTGTTCTCGTATCGTTAATCAACAACACACACACACACAGAGCTGTTCCCCCTTTTCAATACCCAGGAACTAAAATTTCACGCGAAAACTGAAAAAAAACGACACTAACAATTCCCTGGTACTTCCTTCGACAGGAATGAAAAACTGTGTTACCGGAAAATTAACATCTGCATTATTTGTAATACCGGAAACAAACGGAAAGCAGTTGCACATACAAAAATAGGGGATACGTGTTCTTCCTGCAGCCGCCCCCCTCCCTCTGGAGCCCCCTCCATCACGGTCTCAGCCCCGTGGGCTCGTACACCTCGTCCTGGCCGTAGTTCGCCGCGTAGCGGGGGCCGGAGGAGAGCCGCAGGGACTCGTCCACGGGCTGCTGCTGCGCCAGGTAGACAGTTGAAGGGTCGTTGGGATCAACGAACCTGCAACAACGGCCAGCAGTTCAGTACGACAGCAGTTGGGCGCCAAGTGCCTTACATGGCACGTAGGAAAACCCGCTTTTATTAATTTCCGTACAACAAAGTTTGACGTGTAAGTGCGTGTTTCGTGTCGGGGGGTTTAAAATGGGCCCCCGGGGGCTCACCCCCGCTCCTCTAACAACGCTCCTGGTATTTCAACCCCCTAGCGCTTCTCTTCATCCCCCTCATCCTCTGACCGCACCATCCCCCCCACGTCGCGTGGGAAGACACCAACCCTTTACAGATGTGCTTACGAGTGGTTAACCGCCGTACAGGCGTACAACACAAACCGAACGCTACTTGTTATCTTCACAGCAGCCGCTCCCCTTCTTGGCCCCTTCCCCTCTCAAAGTGGGTCGGCCCTACATCTCCTCCCCCACCCCCTAACTCAGTTCTACCTCTGGTACACTCTTGCCCTGGCAGCAGCTTCACTCGTTTGTGGTTCGTCTTTCCCACCCCCTAACTCCCTCTTCCAAGCCCCTGCCCGCCCCCTCCCCCCCCCCGCCAAGTGACGCTACCACCGCCACCCCCAGCCCCACTCACGCTCGGGACACCAGATCAGCCACGTAGTCGGGGGGGTTGGCCTCGTCGACCTCCCGCCGGCGGCCTTGGGCGGCCTCGAACGCCTGGGTCGTACATATATGTATGTATGTATGTATGTATGTATGTATGTATGTATGTATGTATGTATGTATGTATGTATGTATGTATGTATGTATGATTGGTGAGGGAATGAAATGGGGATACACACACACACATACACACGCACATACTCGCACTCAATTCCTGGAATCACTCTTGCTCCTTCCAAGTTTCACAAACTTTATGTGCGAGTATCTCTTTTGGTCTTTTGATCTTTTCGTTATTCACTTGACGTTTCTTTCACTTCCAAATTTCTACAGCGCTAGGACCGGTAGCTGGAGCTGCAGCCGTACCACAGCCTGCCGTACCTCCTTCGCCCGTACTGTCAGCGTGTAGTACAGATGGTATAAGGTGCCGATGCCGCCCTCCTTGAAGTAGATCTTATAGTCGTGAGGAGGCAGCTCCCCCGCCGGGCCCCCTCCTTCCACGGCCGGCCACACCTGACCTGCAGACAGACAGACAGATGTACAGGCAGACATGGAGTGGACAAGGAACAGGGGCCGGCTTGGCAATCCATAATGGGTGATGTTGATGGTGACGGTGAGCAGCAGTAGCTGTAGCCGCATCAGCGCCAGCAGATGGACAGACAGACAGACATACAGACAGGCAAACAGACTGACAGAAAAACCAACCGAAACAGGATATAGGACCGATCGATGGGCGAACGGGCAAACAAGCAGCACGACAACCACCCAGCCACCCAGCAAGTCTTCTGCGGGGCTTTCCTTTCTATATTTTTCGAATTAGTCTCTTTTAGAGAGTATCCCGTCCAGACGAATCAGCCCTTGTGGCCGCTCTAGGGATTTGATATCCCATTAATGCTACATGGTATTGCCCACGGAAGATAGGTGCTACCACAGGCCCTACCGGAAAGGTTGTTGCAGCCGAAGATGGGCTGATTAAGCTTGTCGTTGCGAATGTAACACAGCGGAAAGTCGAAAGCAACCAGCCCTGATAGCATGGCGGTGATGGTGGCGCCGGGATGAGGAGGAAAGGGGGAGCAGCGTTGGTGTGTGGGTGAGTGAAAGAGTGTGGGGACAGGTGGAGCATTTTCTTTTGCGAGAATGGGTAGGATGGGTTCCGGTAAGCTGCTAAGGGGAGATAAAAATTATGTTTGTGAGGGCGTACGGGCGATAAGCGATGAGGGATGCATGATTGTAAGCCGGGTTGGCACAGACATCCGAGGTATTTTATCGCGCCTTCGCGCAAATGCTCTGGCACCGAAAAGTGGCCAGGAACGTGATGCATCGCAAAGAGCATAGAAGCTCGCTGACACTGCCAACATCAAGCGCCAAGAGCGCCCACTTCCCTCACCTGACTCATCCGCTTTAGATGCAACGAACACCAGTCGGACGTTAGACAGGTACAAGGCGCCGCGTGCCTGCCATCCTTTTACACGGGTCTGGACACCATGTAATTCACATTGCACGCCATCTCTTCGTAAGACGAAAACCTCGTTAGGAAATGGCGCAGGGCAAAGCTCTCCTTGAAAGGTACGCACTAATGAAGGATTTGCTGACATTTATGCAGTTAAGGTAGGTGATGCTAAACCAATCCCTACTCGGCACGAAGGTGGAGTGACAACCCCAGTCCGGAACGCTCAGAGGAACCCGAAAGAAGGTTGTTCAAAAAAGTTGTGTATTGGTGTGTATTATTCATTGAGCTTATATATCCTATAATTAACTAAGCAATTATTTATTGCAGTTGTGCTTGGAAAAAGGTTGGTCGTGCATTTCGTTGGCAAATGCAAACAAACAGCAATTTCCAAGGGAGGACTGAGTTCGCTGCAAAGTGCAAACCAAGCACGATAATGTTAGACCCTAATGTATTAGTTTTCGTACCCTTACATGCATATAATGGCTTGAGCCTGCAATCTCGTCTGCTGTAATCGACCCTGTGGGGTCTCGGTCTATCGAAGAAAGTCTCCATGGCCGCAACATGGCTATCTAAGACCTTAGTCCCGAGCGGCGTAGTGGAGCATGTGGTCTGCGGCAATTTTGTCGCCACCTGCCAGCCGGGCCATGCGCAGGTGGTCCTGCTCCACGCCGGCAGCAATCTCGAGCTGCTAGCGGTCGGAGCCTCAGGCGCAGCTGCCAGCGTCTGCAGCCAGCCCCTTCAAGCCGGCGATGCGGTCGTGGACATGCGCGTGTTGCCGCGGGCCGCCCGCCTTGACACCACCGCGGTTGTGAGTCGCATAGCCTCATCTGAACCGCACATCCACGGTGGACACCGCCCCGCCCCGCCCCGCCCCTCACCCAAACCCACACGCCGCAAAACCCTCGGCTTCTCTCCCCTTGCCTCTCTTGCTGAGCCCGTCCACCCATACATCCGCCCATCCCATCACGCACTGTTGGTTTACAGAGATGCTATCCCCCGCCTCGACAACGTACCCCAGACCGTCTCCCTCCGCTGTCGCCACCATCATACGCGCCACTGGTAGCTCCTGGTAGCGGTCCAACTGCCTCCATCCCGCCTAGCCCCTGCCAAGCCCCCTAAGTTGCACCTCTCCTTGCCCCCTTGTAGACGTCTCGGCAGTGGGGTCTCCTTACTTCGTGCTGGATATATTCCCCACTTCCCCCCTCTTTCCCCCCCCCCGGCTTTCCATTTCCCCATTACGAATTTCGTTCAGGCGGTCCGGCCCTGCCCAGATCCCGACAGCCTGCTGCTGCTGACCGGCTCGGGGCGGGTGACAGTGCTGCGGTTCGATGAGCAGTGCAACCGGTGGGAGGGGTGGGGAAAGGGGAGAGGGGAGGGCGGGGGTGGGGAAAGGGGAGAGGGGAGGGCAGGGGTGGGGAAAGGGGAGAGGGGAGGGCGGGGGTGGGGAAAGGGGAGAGGGGAGGGCAGGGGTGGGGAAAGGGGAGAGGGGAGGGCGGGGGTGGGGAAAGGGGAGAGGGGAGGGCGGGGGTGGGGAAAGGGGAGAGGGGAGGGCGGGGGTGGGGAAAGGGGAGAGGGGAGGGCAGGGGTGGGGAAAGGGGAGAGGGGAGGGCAGGGGTGGGGAAAGGGGAGAGGGGAGGGCAGGGGTGAGGAAAGGGGGGAGGGGAGGGCGGGGGTGGGGAAAGGGGAGAGGGGAGGGCGGGGCACAGGCGTTGCGCCCTGCGTGTGGGAAAAGGGAGGGAGGGAGGGACGGGAGGGACGGGAGGGACGGGAGGGGAGGCGAGCGATAGGGTGGTGCTCCGGTGCGTTGTGCCACGTAGTGAGTAAGGTGTGTGTCGTACGGGGGAAGACACAAGACTGCCGGGTGGTGAGACCTCGTGCGCAATGTGATGTGATGTGATGTGGAGCTCCTGATTGTCGATTTCATGGAGGCTAGCTGCCTGGACTGCTGCTGCTGCTGCGGCGGCGGCGGCTACTGCAGCTTCCTGGCGCCTTTCCGTCGTCTCCTCCCCCTCCCTGGACCCCTACCCCCCCCCCTCTCCGGGCGCCTGGCGGCGTCTGCTCTGCTAAGCTCTGTGCCCCCCCCCCTTCGCGACCACCCCTGGTGACTATCCCCCTAACCCGACACACACACATACACACACGTACACACACATACACACACATACACACACATACACACACATACACACACATACACACACATACACACACATACACACACATACACACACATACACACACATACACACACATACACACACATACACACACACCGTACAACAACCCCCAAGCCCAACCCTTCCTTTCGCAGGTTCGTCCTGGTGCAGGAGGTGCTGCTGACGGGACCAGGTGAGGACCAGCCGGGGGGGGGGGCGGGGGAACGTAGCGGCTCCAGGGGGGGAGACCCCGGTGTGTGTGTGTGAGGTCGTGTTGGACGAGGGGGAGAGAGAGGGGGACAGAGGAACCACTGACGAGAAGAGGAGGTGCGTGGGTGACTATGTGACGTGCAGCTGAAACAGCAGAAGGGGACTGGTTACAGCTGGATAGAAAGGGGAGGGTGAGGGTGAGGAGGAGGGGGAGGAGGGGGAGGAGGGTGGTGAGGGTGAGCGGGGTGGGAGCTGTCGTTGGTAGTGGTGGTGGTGGTGATGAGCGCCCCCGGGGTGAGGCACATGGACACATCTCCCTCCTCCCACCCACCCCCCACACTCCCATTCGGGCGGGTGCCGTACTTGATCGACCTCTTGCCGTACTTTACCAACCTCTTGGACCGTCTCAGGCACACAACCGCGATTCCAGCCACGGCTCATGGCCACGTCACCTTCGGGCCGCCACGGCGTCGCGATCGCTGCCTTCCAAGACCGGATCTTCTACCTGCCGCCCGCATCCTTGGTGGCATCCACACCACCGTCTGCATGCGCACACACACACCCGTCAGCTAGTACAGCAACAGCAGCAGCAGGAAGAGAAGCAGGAGGAAGTCCTCGGACAACGCCAGCAGCAGCGGCAGGAGCGGAAGCAGCAGGCGGCGGGACGACGACGACGACGACGACGGCAGGCGTCCCCGCCGCCTCCGGTGGCGGTGCTGCGGTCGCGGGCCGATATCCTGCCGTACTCTCCAACACACCAGTGCCGTACATACACCGCCGGCCGCGTGGCGCCGCCGCGCCGCCGCCGGTGCTCACCGCTGGTCCGGTAGCGGGTACGGCACCGCGGGACTTACGAAGCGCTACCGTGGATGCATTGGCGGCCTCCGACTCGCGGTTCATTGCTGGCAGCAGCTTCCTGCCGCTGCTGCCGGAGGCAGGTTTCGGAGCTATTTGGGATCTTGCCATTTTAGAGGGGCCGGGCCTGATCACCGCCGGCCGTACTGGCGCCGGGGCGAGCGGTGGCGGCGGCAACGGCGGCGGCGGCGGCAACTTGGTGGAGTTGCGGCGACGGCAGCGGCGGGAGCCGGGGGATGAGGGAGCTGCCGTGGTCGACGGGGGCAGTAGCGGCGCCAGGGGCGTTGACTATTTCCGTGTCGCTGCACTCGTGCACAGGTAGGCATGCGTAGTTAGGATTAAGCGGGGGAGGTTGTGGGAGGTGTACGCATGTATGTATGCATGCATGTACCCATATCCTGCCCTCTTCCCCCTTCCTATCATACCCCCTTCCGCCCCCCCTTCTGCAGGTCCAGTACTGACAGCGGTGAGGTGTTGCTGCTGCGATGGACCCGTGGGTCACCTGACCTGCTACTATGCGACTTGGTCGTCTGCCTGGGCGGCTGCAGCCCCCCCGCGGCCCTCAATGCGCCGCCCGATGACGCGGGAACCAGAAGAGCCTCACCACGGCCAGCTGCAACCTCGGCACCGGCAGGAACGACCCACGGGTCATTAGCACCAGCACCAGCAAGCGCTACGCGTCCTCGACCCGATTCGGTAATCGGAACGCGGTTTGGGCCCGCGTCTGGGGCTGGGGCTCCTTCGTCGTCGTCGCTGTCACCGCCGCCGCCGCCGCCGCCGCCGCCAGGTGCTGCTCCGACTGCGCCTCCCCCGCCAGCCGACCTGCTGGGTGTGGGTCACCTGCTGCGTGCGGCTCCGCCTGGTCCGGCTGCTGCCGGGGGGCAGGCTGAGGATGCAGGTGAAGGGGGGATGTGCGGTGTATAGTGCGGTAGAGGAGAGGTAGGCGGGTTGTTTTAGGGTATGTATGTATGCATGTATGTATGTATGTATGTATGTATGTATGTATGTATGTATGTATGTATGTATGTATGTATTGGCTGTGAGGGTCGCCGCGCTGTCCGTCTGATGCTGTCGTACGTTTGCAGGTGCTGCTGCGCTGGTGCGGTGGGAGGTTCGGACGTATGTCTTGTACATCCACTAGACACTGTCGTCATGTCGTACTACTGTGCTCTTGCATTCCATGTGTTGCCGCCGGGCCCCGGCTTCTGTCCCGCGCCTTTTCACTTTCAGCTCTAATGCGCGTTCCGTTGCTCGGCTGAATGAGAGAGGTCGTGAGCCGCTAATCTGTTACCTGGAAGTTTACGTTGTCGTACCTCGTACGATGAATGCCCGCCGCCCTTGCCACGCCACAATTTTCCCGTGTGACGTCAGCAGGAGGTCTGTTGGTGGTTGGGACACACGGCACAGTATTTCTCATGGCGGCCCTGTTGGCACGACATGCGCTGCCGCCCGCCGGCAGCGGCGGCGGCGGCGGCACCGTCAGCGCCGCCGCCGCTACACCAGCAACGGCCGGGTGCTCGGCTGCGTACAGCTCCGCGGCGGCGGCGGCGGCGGCAGCGGCAGCACTGCCGCCGCCACCTGTGCTTTACCTTGAGGACTTAATGGCGACCGCCGCCACTGTCACCTTGGCAGCTCTAGGTACGGCATATCCAGCGGCTGTAGCGGCGCGTGAGCTCCCCCGATGCGGCGGCGACTCTAGCAGCTCCAGTGGCGGCGACGGCGGCGGCGGCGGGATTGGCGGTAGTACGGATGATGGCGACGATGACGTTTTCGACTTTTGTTTTCCGGACCTCCACTTCAGAAGGGCGGTGTTGAGCCCGCTGGGCCAGCAGCCGGTGCGCGGTCAGGGCGCTCCGGAGCGAGCACCCGCCGCAGCCTCCGGACATGGCTGGGCGTACCTGCGGTTCGCGGAGACGTACTTCGGGCCTGCGGCCGCCGCGCCCGCAGCCACTGCGCCCCCTGGAGCAGCAGCAGCAGCAGCAGTCGGTGCCGGCGGAGTTCATGCCGCGGACGTTGGGATGGTCCGCGTCTCAGCCGGTGACGGCGACGGCGGCGGCGGCGGTACGGCCGCGGCGATGGACCTGGACGACGACGGCGAGAATTATGCGCGCCGCGGCGGCACGTCGAGCGCGGCGGGTTTCGGAGGCGCATATGGCGGCGGCGGCGGCGGGAGGGTTGACCGAACGGCCGCAGGCGAGGAGGAGGACGACGAGGGAACGACAGATAGCCGCGCCGCATCCACACGCATCTTGCCACGGCGGCGACCGCGGCGGCTCGGGGCCTTACATGATGCCTTTCTGCGCTACCGCGCCACGGAGTCCCAGGGTGCCGCCGCCGCCACCACCGCCGCCGCCGCTGGCGGCGAGGGGTCACGGCACGGCGACAGCTTGCGCGATCGGCTTGCTCCGTATTCGCGAGGAGGACGAGGCGGTGAGGAGGCGGCACAGGAGGAGGAAGCGCCGCCGCCGCCGCCTCCGCCGCGTTTCCCGCCCCACGCGGCGCCGCTACTTCAGTTGCTGAACCGCGATCGAGGGACTCGGCCATTGAATGCGCGGAGTTTGCGGACGATGATGGACCCGGAACATCTGCGGCTGGTGAGGAAGCGTAAGGAGGGGGCGGATACCGTGAGCGCCAGGGCCGCGGTGGACGCGGCCACGGCGGCCATGGCGGCTATCGCGGCCGCGGCGTTGGACGAGCAGGACATCCACGGGGCGCGGCCGCTGCCGCCACTCAAACAGGTGTGTATGTGCAGTGCGGGTTAAGACACGTCTGTTATTTACTCGTCGCTTTTCTAGATGAGGAAGATTGAAACAAAGATTGGAAGACAAGACGGCACGATGCCGAACAATTACCGAGCCACAGGAGGTGGAGCTAGTTGCGAAATAAATTAGCGTTTGTCTGTCTGTCCGTATGTATGTATGTTTATTTGTCTGTCGTCTGCAGGCCCCGCCGGTGCTCGGCGTTGAGCAGCTGCCGTTCGCAGAGCCGCAATGCAAAGGTCACATATGCACTGTCGCGGAGTGGTTGTCTGCGCCAATCCCACCGCCTACGCTGCCGCCGCCGCCGCCGCCAGCCCCTCCGCACTTCTCCGGCATCGCCAGAGCAGCATCGCCAGCCGCCGCTGTAGCAGCGGGCCATGCGCCGCCGCCGCCGCCGCCGTCACTGCCTCCGCCAGCTTCTGCCTTCACGTCCCGTGTGAATGGAAGTGGTCCTGATATTGCTACCGCTGCAACCTCCAGAGCTGCCGCGGCGGCGTGCGCGCCTCTGCCCCCGCCTCAGCGGCAGCTGACCCACGGGTCAGTGGCGCAAATGGCCCGCCGGCTACTGTTATGCTCCGCCGCCGGGCCTGCGCTGTGCCTTACGGTGACTTTTCCAACTTTTTCAACGCCGCCACCAGTGCCGCCGCCAGTGCCGCCAGCGTCGCCGCCGCCTGAGAAGCACCGCCATGGTAGCCCGGTGGCGGCGGCGGTAGCGGCGGAATACGGCGCCGCAGATGACGTTGAGCTATTAGATGCGGCCGCAATGGGGATGCAACCCAACATCTCTGTTGACGCTCGCGATCTGGAGCACGAGGAGGAGGGGGGGGATCCCGGGGGTGCTGCGGAGGGGGACGTTGGGTTGCCGCAGCTGCCCGAGGTGGGGCTCTTCGGGGCAGCTTGCTTGATGCCCGGCGCTGCAGCTATCGGGGCGGCCGCGGCTATGGGTAGTAGCTCGGCAGCGGCAACGGCAGCGGCGAGTATGTCTCGTACGACAGTACGGCCCGCGCGCGCCGTGGCCGTCCTGCCATCCTGGAGCGGTGGGATTCTGGTGTGGTCCGAGGAGGGGGGTGATGTACTGACGATGCGGCACAGGCACCGAGCGTTGGCGCCGCTGCCGTCACATGAGCAGCAGTTGCGGCGGCGACGGCGGTGGCGCCAGCGGCAGCCAGACCAGCAGCAGCAGCAGCCGCAGCAGGAGCAGCTACAGCAGCGAACGGGGCGACGGCAGTTGCAGCGAACGGCTTCGCATGTACGGCGGCCCCTAGCGGCGCCGTCTGCACCTCAGATGCGGAGTCCGCCGCTAGCGCAATCCCGATGGCTCAGCAGCGGCTTCACCACGGACACCGCCGCAGCCGCCGCAGCCGCCGGCACTTGTGCTGCCCCGACAGCGGCGGCGCGGGCTACGGCCACCTTGATCGGCTTTGCCCGCAGCAGTAGCAGCAGCCTTCCGACGTCAGGTGGCGCCGTCGGGGCTCCCGCTAGCTCGACTACGATTGGCAGTAGCCCGCCTGAGGTGGCCAAGGGCCGGCGGCATGTGGCGCCTCCCCCTGGGGTTTCCGGACGCGCTGCGGGCATCTCCGGAGGCCGCCAGGCTGCCGCAGCCTCCTGGGCGACCCGTGGGTCAGGCGGGACAGGAAATGTGCCTGGCGGACGGCGGACCAAAACGTCAGCCTTACCAGGGAGAGGAGGTGGGCTTGGCCGCTGGTCGTGCGGCGAAGGCGGCGGTGGTGGTGACGGCCCAGGGCCAAGACGGCCCGGGGGGGTGAAAGAGGCGGCGGCGGCGGCGGCGGGAGTGCTGGCGCTACGGCTGCTGGGCCGGGTGCCGCAGCCTCGGCCGATGGTCGATTTCGTGGTGACGGAGGCAGCAGGCGTGTCGGGCCGAGGACGCATGCTACAGGTATAGCCACACGGCATGCACGACACCGTACTTCTGACGGACGCAAAGCTTGACCGGAAGAGGGGAGGGGTTTGTGTTTGTGCAGGTAGAGGTAGGGGAGGAGGGGGAGGAGAGGAAAGGCCCCGATCATGGCCATGAGGCGGCTGAGGCTGAAGCGCGCACCAGGTACCGGCACGTACACACGGGCAGGGGCCAGCGGGGGTGGCAGCGGGGGCGGGGGGCCGCCGGGTTCGGCCACCACTCACACGACCTAGATCCACTTGGCCCCGCGCCATCCGGAACGAAATCCCAGATCCAGATCCAGATCCAAACCAGGTCAAGCGCGGTAATGCATCTTCCTGATACATACATACACATGTACATATACACACGCGGCTCGGTTGTTTATTATTGAGCACACACGCACATGCACACGCACATGCACACGCACGTGCTTATCGACGTGTTTTGAGATTTCTCCCCCTCCCCCTCCCCCCGGGGCTGCCTGGACTACCCGTCTTTGGTATCTGCTCCATTCACCAGTGGTTCGTCATACCTCCCCCCCTCCCCCCCCCCCCGGCTCCCCACCGTCGTGACCTGCTGTGGCCGCACAGGTTACCGGGGCCGTACTGGGACTGGAGGCGCCGGGGAGCGCTCACTCCCCTCCTCATCCTGCCGGGGGCACCGCGGCCCCGGAGCACAAGCTGCAAGTGCTCCGGGGCTGTCTGGCAGCCCCCGTGGTGGCGAGTGTACCCAACCAAGGCGCCATCCCGAACGGTGAGTCTTAATTAGGCTGAAAACGACCCATGGGTCATGTTGGGATTTTAATGGGCCGCGGTGATCGTTTGCCCCCCGAGCTGCACGTCGGCCTGTACGGATGTTGACTTGTTGCCCTCACGCTCCAACCTGCGTTCACGCAGGCTTGTGGTCCATTCCCCTCCGTACGGCAGTCGCCTTATGCACGTCGGGCGGCGCTCTGGGTGGTGGTTCCGGAGCGCCGCAGCCGCCACGCGCCGCAGCCGCCGCAGCGGCGGCAGCCGCGAACTCGCTACCAGCCGGCGGCAGCCTGGTCGTGCTGTCGTATGTTGGCGGTTCACGTGCGCTGGCACCCGTACTGGATACGGATTTCGCAGCGGAATCCAATCCTGGTGGATCCGGCGCGTCGCTGCCGTACGGCGATGTGGGCCCAGCTGACGTGGCGCCGTCGATGTGTGACGTGACGGAAGCGTTACAGCTGCGGCACTGGGAGCCGACGTTGGCGGCGGGGCTAGTGGCGGAAAGCGTGCTCGTACAGGTTGGTTGGTACGACAGAACGGAATTAACGGAAAACTGCCTCGGTTACGTCCTTTGTTTTTCCTTGCAGGTGTGTGAATAATCCGTACTGGTGGACCATCCTGTGACCATGATACATCCCCCCAGCCCTTTCACTTGCATAGCCTTACTGACTTCCCCTACTCGCTCTCAGCAAGGCAACCTTTCTCCATTCTTTTCCTTGTCATTAGTTATCTATTGTTATATTATTATTATTATTATTATTATTATTATATTATTATTATTATTATTATTATTATTATTATTATTTCACGTGTTTGTGTCTTCCCGTTCTCCTCCTTTCCACATCTCGTCGTGTATCGTCATGTTGCGTATCGTTGTCTATTATTATCATTATCATCATCACGACGTTCGCAATCAAACCTCCAACCAGATAACGCCGTCGGGGGTTCTGCTGGTATCCCTGGACACTCTGGCCAACCCGGCGCTAGCGGCCGCCGCCGCTGGCGCCGCCGCCGCCTCCGCCGCTGCAGCGGCAGCAACAGCGCCCTCCGGCAGCTCTGTACTTCCCGACGACGTCGCCGCCACAGGTGGCGGCGGTGGCGGCGGCGGCAGTAGCTGGGACGCGCCCCTCGCGAGGAGCACGTGGCCGAGTCCCAAGAGCAGTCGTTTCGATGACCGGCTGCCCCTGGAGCCGTTTTTGATACCGCCACAGCAACAGCAACCAAGTACGACCCTAGAGCTGCAGCTACAGCCACAGCAGCAGCAGCAGCAGGTATGCTGGCAGGGAGAACCAGTAGCACTGAGCCCTCGCGCCCTCGCGCATCCGACGGCCTCTCCTTCGCTGTCCGTATCTGCCGGAATGCCGTACAGCACTGACGGCGGCGCTCTGACGGAAAGGCCGTTTCAGGTAGGCTTTTTCGGCCAGGCAGCGGAGGTAGCGGAGGTAGCGGCCGCCGCGACTGCCGGCGGCGGCGGCTGCAGCGAGAGCCGTTGCCCATCCATCAGCGGCTACAGCTCCGTCGCGGAGGGCATGGGCGCCATGGTTCTGGCGTCGGACATGTTGCTGGATGACGAGGTGCAGGAGGGGGTCAGGTCCACGGGAGACAATCTGGCTTTATACTCGCCGGATATCTTGCCGCCGCCGCCGCCGCTACTGCCGTCGTCGGCGCCGCTGCCGGGCTTTGGTAACGCAGCGGGCGACACCGCCGCCGTCGAGGGCCTTGCGGGGCTTCGCCGTATGCTGTCCATGCCGCCGCCGCCGCCGCCGCAGTTGCTGACGACGGCGGCGGGGTCGCAGATGTCTGGCGGCCCTGACACAGGCGGCGGCGGCGGAGCTTCGGCACCGGCGGAGGCGGAGGTATCTCCCGGCGGCGTGGGTTGGTGGAGCGCCGCGGCTCCGGACATTACCTTGGGCTCAGTCGCCCCCGGCTGCGTGGCGTTGGTCCGGAAGCTTGACCGCAGGATTACGGTGGGTTCATTACGGTGGCTCTCGATGGGTGAGAGGGCTGTCGGAAGGGTAGTTGGGGTTGGGAACATAGGTTGGGGTTGTGTTCGTTGCGTTTCAAAACCGCCGCCGCTGCCCGCAACCGCGGATGCGTCCAAATCGCCTTAAGTAACTTGGGAGCTAACGGAAACGTGGTCTTATTAAACATCTATTCGGCCCGGCCAAACAAACAGTTTTGTGTTTTGCGACATTTTCCATGCGGTTATGTCCGTCACCTTGCTTGGAATCCGCAGGTGCTGGGGGTGGTGCAGCGGGGCAGCCTGGGTGGCGGCGGCGGCGGCGGTGATGGTTCCGCGCCCTCCCGTCTGAGTCGCAAGCGGCCGCGCAGTACGGTTACCGTCCGGGAACTGGGCTGCTCGCCGCCGCTGGACTGCGAGCCTTCATGCTGCGCGTTGCGGGCCCTGCCGCCGCCGCCGGCCCAGCCGCCGCCGCCTCGCGCACACGCCCTCCACACGTTCCGAAGAACCCCCTCGGCGTCGTCGTCAGCCTTCGTCGCCGCTGCCGCGACGGCAGCAATGACGGCGGCGGCCGCCGCCGCCGCGGACGCAGTGGATCCTGGCGGCGCCGCCGGCGCCGCCGCGCCAGCGGTCCATTGGGGTGTCGGTTTGCCGCCGTTGCCGCCTCGCACCGGGCCAATCAGCTCGTGCGGCCCGGCTCCAGCCACAGGCGCTGCGACCCCATCCTCGCCTGCCGCTGCTGCTGCTGCTGCTGCTGCTGCTGGTTCCTCTACTGCCGCTGCTGCTGCCGGCGCTGCTGCGCATCGGGCCCCCTGGCGATATCATCTCCTGGTGGGCGACCACGCGCCTAGCATTCAGCTCCTGCTGCTGACCCACGGGTCGTCGGGGCTGCGCTGCTCGTTGCTCGCGCGGATCTCCACTTCTGTACCTCCGGGCCTGGGACCTAGCGCCGGACCTGCAGGGCCTTTGACGGCCTCTGTTCCGGAGTCCGTCCTTTTCATCGCACCCGCTCCAATTCCAATGGCGGCGGCCGCCGTGGCGGCGGGGCGAACCGCAGGCGGCGGCGGCGGCGGCCGTCTCAGCATTGCTAACAGGTGGGGCTCTCCTGGGACCTCCGAAGCCGTGTTCTGCCTCGTTGGGCTTCGTAGCGGCGGCGTTGCGGCGTTCAGTTATGGTGCCCCCGCGGCGACATCGGAGGCGGCGCTGGCGGCGGCGCCGTCCCATTACCGGGCCAGCAGCGACGGCGCGGAGGATGCGGCTGCTTGCAATGCAGGCGACGGCAGCGATTTCGACGGCGTCGAGGCGATGGAAAATGACGGCCCGGAGGCCGCCAAGGCGCAGGTTGTACATTCAGTAGCGCCGACGGCGGCGGCGGAGGTGCTGCGGCTGGTGTGGCACTCCCCCCTGGAGCAGGTGCCGCTGCGCTTAACCTCCCTAGCGCCATTTCGGCCTTGGCAGGCCTTGGCGGTGGGGACTGCCGTACACTTGCTGGAGCTGACGTCTCACTCGGGTCGGCTGCTGTGTTCGACAGTCCTGCCGGCCAGCGGCAAATGGGCTCCGGATTGCGGCACCAGCAAGGCCGCGAACACGGCGCCGCCTCACCCCCTCGAGGCTATCTTGGCGGTGCCGATGCACCTCCCCGCTGCATCCGCCGCTACTGCGGTGGCCACGACGGCGGCGGCGGCAGTTGGAGGGGAAGCAGCCGGAGCCGGCTTTGACGCCTTTTTGCAGCGCCCAGTTCGGCTGCCGCCGCCGCCGCCGCCGCCAGGTCATCCCGGGCCCCAGGAGCTGGCACTTGTCGTGCTCAACGACGGCTCCTGGCGGGTGCTATCTCTGCAGCGGCTGAGTCGCTTGGGCCGCCAGCCGCCGAGCGTTATGCCATTGGGCCCACCTGACGGCGTCGGCGACGGCGCGACCCGCGGGTCAGTGGGAAATGGCGTCAGTGAGCGGCGGCCAGCATCCCTGCCCGTCCCCGGTACGGCACCTCTTGGCCGCCCGCGGCAGCTCCTCTTTGTACCGCAGCTCCTGCCGGCCCTGTCGTCATCGTCGTTGTCGCCGCGCGCCGTCGTGCATGATGATGACCGCCTGCCGGCAGGTGTGTCGGCGGCGCCGGGCGGCGGCGCCGGGCGTGCTTGCGACGGCTACCTCATCCTTCTCGCCGACGACCCGCAGGGCTCACAGCTGCAGCCTCACGGCCAGTCGGCGGGCTCTCGTTTCATCCACGTATTGGAAGCCGCCAGCGGACGCTTGGTGACGAGCTTCGACGTCGACGCCGCAGCCAGCGGTTTCCTGGCAACCTGCGCTTCCGTGTGGCAGGTACGGCCGGAAGCCGGCGTCAGCATTGACGTTGACGGCGGCGGCCCCGGCGGCGGCGTTGGTCCGCCGCCATGGGAGCGGCTGATGGGCGGCGGCGGCGGCGGCAGCGGCTTGCTGAACGATGATGACGGAGGTGAGGTGGATCTTGGTGAAGAAGGCGTGCACGGCGGTGACGGCGGCGGCGGCGGCGGCGGAGAGGTACTGATGGGCGATGCGAGGGAGGCGCTGCCGCCGGGTCATCTTTGGCAGCGGCGGTTGTGGGACCAGGGGGGTGGGTGGGAAGCGGCGGAGCACGAAGCGCTACAGGTAGCGGAGCTGGCGGCGGCGGCGGCGGCGCCGCCAGCCGCTGGTGGCGCGGAGGAACATAGGGAGGCTGCGAGGGGTGCGGCGGCTGCGGATGCCGCGGCGGCGGATCCGTTCATGGTTGAGGATTGGGAACTGGAACCTTTAATGGCAGGGGGAGAGGCGGCGGCGGCGGCGGCGGCGTTGGCGGCGGCAGCAGCTGACGCGAATCAGCCGCAGGAGCCGCCGCCAGAGCAACCTCACATGCACCGGTGGCGGTGGCAGGGCGAGCGGGCCGGCGCACCGGCGGTGGCGGCGGCGTTTGATGTTGAAGAGTTTCTCCGCGAGTTGGACGAGCAGCGGGGTGCCGCCGCAGCTGCCGCCCCCGCCGCCGCTGGCATTGGCGCCGACGGTGAGGGACGTCGGGGTATGGATATGGAGGAGCCTTGGCGGCGGATGCGCCACTTTGTGGGCTTCCTAGGCCAAGTTCCCGCCGCGGCGCGGCCCGGCGGCGGCGGCAGCAGCGCCGCCACCGCCGCCGCCGGGGACAATACGAGACGCGCCAGGCCCGCCGGCACTCCCGCCGTACTACTCGCAGTTGGGTGTAGCGGTCAGGGTGGCGGGGAGGTTATGGTGCTGCAGATGGTGCCGGCGCTGCTGCAGCTGCTGCCGCGGCTGCGCGGCGGCGACGGAGCTTCCTCTGCCGCTACTGCTGCTACTGCTGCGGCGGCGGCGGCGGCTGACAGTCCAAACGGGTCACCGTCACTGGACAAGCTGGGAGATGACTGGTTTACGTGGCCGGTGGCGAGAAGGCGGTCTCCGTTGCAGCATTGGCTGGGACGGATGGCGGGGAATGCAGCTGCAGCGGCGGCGGCGACGGCAGTGCCACCGCCGCCGCCGCCGCCGCTACTGCCGGCCCGAGAAGCGGTAGCAGTAGCCAATGCAAGTGACGGCGCTGAGGAGCAGGCGCCGCCGCCTCCGAGCTCCGCGGCGGCGGCGGCGGTACGAACAGCTGCCGCTGCTGACGACAGCGGCGGCCTGCCGACCACCCGCGTCGTACATCTGCAGGTCGTACACAGGCTACTGTTGGCCAGGCCGGTGACGGCCGTGTGTCCGTACGACGCGGAGACGCTGGTGGTGGCGGCGGGCCGCCGACTGCTAATCTACGCTCTCCGCTGCGGTCGCCTCCACCGCATGGGCTGGACCCCGACGAGGAACTCCGTCACGGCCATGTCGGCTTGTCCAGCGCGCTCCCTGCTGGCGTGTACGGATGGCACTACCGGCGTTATGCTGTACACTGCCGTACACGCAGGCTACGGCACTGGGGCGTCAGCGATGGCGGTGGGGCCGCCGATTGCGCTGCGGCTCATTGCTGCGGATGCCGTACACAGACCTGTGACGAGTTTGCTGCTACTGCCGCCGCCGCCGCCACAGCTACAGCCGTCGCGGTCAGCGTCGGACGCGTCAGTTAGCAACGCCGGCGGCGGCGGCGTCGCCGCCGCCGCCTCGCCGTCAGGCGAGCCCATGGACACCGCGCCGGGGGCGGCCGACGGGCAGCCGGACGCCACCACAGCCACCGCCACTGATGCGGCGGCGGCGGCGGCGGCTGAGATGGATTGTGTCGTAATCGCTGCGACGGACTCTTCCGGCCAGCTGCTGATGCTGGCGCCGGGGCCGCCGAGCTCGGGACTGCCCTGTCGTACATTGGTAGTGGTGGCGGCGGCGCAGTGTCCAGATACTGGGCTGCGGCTACGGGCTCATCTCCCCCGTCCGGTGCCCCGATATAACCAAGGTACGGCAAAATCCGATTTGTGCAATTGGCAAGGTAGCTGCTGCTTGCGCTTATCCTCTATACCACCGCGCTGAGGGGCCTCAAAGGCGGACACAGCTGTCCGGCGCCCGTTGCATCCAGCTGCTACATCGAACACAAAAAGGGGGCCCGTTGACCGGTCGCTTAGGCTGTCCGGGCGGGTGCAGTGCGATGCAAGAGGGGTGAAAGGAAGAGGGGTGAAGCGGGGAACTCTGTTTCCAATCGGCACTCTGTCTGCTGGGGGGGTTGCCAGGTCTTGTGCGATCTTGGATTATTTTGTCGGTCGGGCAGGTGGGCAGATTTGATGGCATCGCACGGGTCCCTCGCCTCCCGTCCTGCCAAAATACGAGACACACGTACATACGTACGCACGTACATAACACACGTTATGCCACCGCTGCCTACAGCTCGGCCCTTCCAGCCCGGCGCTCCGGCACTGCTTCTTGCCGGCCTGTCGGGTGCCGTACACGTCGTACGTCCATGCCCTGAAGCGGCGGTGCCGCTGCTGGTCCTCCTTGAAAGAGCGCTGGCGGGCTACTGGGCTGTACGGCACGTGACGGGCGGCCGCCACCGTTGTATTGGAGAGGCTGCAGTGGAGGACGTGGATGACGTGGCGGGGCGCTGGTGGTGGTGGTGGTGAGAAGGACGCACATGCGCTCGTGTGTAGCTTCTTCCGGGTTAATGTTTTCAGCTGGTGTATGTGTGTGGGAGGACGGGAGAAAGGCGGGTGCAGAGGAACGAGGAAACCCATCGGCTCAGACCTGAGACTTAAAACGAGCTGAGTGCTTGGCGACTTGCGTGTAGAGGCAAGGCAAGGTAGTGGAGTAGGAAAGCCAGCGCCGCCACGTGCGCCGCGTTGCTAATGTTGTCGTACCCCCCAACCCCCACGGTTTTCGTGATCACACATCTTCTGCCCGTACCTTCCCGTGCGCCCCTAATTCTCCAACCCCCTCCCCCCCCTTCCCCCTCACTCGTTTGTGGTTCGTCTTTCCCCCCCTCCCCTTCCCTCCTCCCCCCCTCGCCCCCTCCCCCTGGAGCAGCCACCAGCACCACCCGGGTGTCCTGGACGGAGACCTCTTGGAGCAGCTGCTGGACCTGCCGCGACCCATGGGTCTGCAGGTCCTGAAGGGGGTGCCGCCAGGCGCTCTGACCGCCGCACTGGCCGCCGCGCGCACTGGCCTGGACGCTCTCTATCACCGGGCGGTGGCGGAGGCGGACAGCCGGCTGCAGGCCATGACGCTGCGGGAGGACCGCGAGGGGGGGCCCCAACAGCCTCAGCAACAGCCTCAGCAACAGCAGGTGCCGGCGCCGAATGGGTTGTTGTTAGCGGGGCGTGATTCTGAGCTGGGTTTCGGAGCGAGTCCTGCAGGAGGAGAGGAGGAGAGTCTGGACCTGGTGCTGCAGGTGCTGCAGGAGGTGTTGCTGCTGCCACCCTGAGCTCGAGGACCTGTCTGGAATACCCCCGCTGCAACCCCCCCCCCCCCGCGAGAGCCCCTGACTCCCTCTCTTGGCCGCCCTTCCCCTTCCCCTAGCCCGTTAGCACGACGTTGCTGTTGTTGTTGCTGCTGCTGCTAGATCGTGTGTGTGGGGGGGGGGAGCACAAGAGGAGGGGGCTGAGGGCTGTGCAAGCCGGTGGGAGCTGCGGGAGGGAGTTTCTAGTACGGCAGTGGGAGACTAGTACCTATGTGATCAGGGGCCTTATGGTGATGGTGGTGATGGGGGGGTTGAACCGTTGTGGGTTACAAATCTTGAGTGGTGTGAAATACAGACAGACAGATAGACAGACATTCAGGCAGACGGACACGCCTTGTTGTTCAAGTTAACGGTGTTGTGGTTGGCTCTTTAAAACGCCGTGTTGGGTCACATCGAGATGTAGGGCCCAGGAGGAGGAGAGGACCGGGGGGTAGCTATAGAGGTGGTGCAGTTGGATGGGGGGACAACACTGGAGGATTTGAAGCAAGAGGACATACAGACATACAGACAGACGTACAGTTAAGGAGACCGGTGAAGATCTTTTGAGGAGGCTGAGGTTTATTATGACGTTTATTACTGGGGCATGGCGGCGTATCTTTGTGTATGTATGTATGTATGTGTTTTTGGGGGTGATGGCAGCGATGAAGGCCTGCATGTACTTGTGTGCACACATCTGCATTTCAAACATAACAATTCATACCTTACTGGTTAATACACACCTGCAAAGCAAGTAAAGAGGCGGCCGATGACGCGATGAACCCGGGCCAGGCGGGGGAGCCATCAGAAGCGGGGGTGGTGCAGCCAAATGCAGTTTACAATGCATGTGTTTGTTTTAAAGAGCGGGAGTGAAGAAGCGTTTAGCCGGCTTTTCCGCACGAAAAAAACTTTGCTTTACGAGCATCAAGCACCCTCAGCCCTCCCTCCACAGGGACCACAACCTCCTCAACTTCTACTTCTCCCTCCTCCCACCCCCTTTCCGATTCCCCCTGCCTTCCTCGACGTCCTCACCTTCGTCAATGGACCATGTACGTAACCTCTCTCTCCAACTCTCCACCCCCCTAAACACACACACACACACTCTCGCGCTACATCCCTTCACCCCAAACGAGCGGCAACCTTGACCCGCTGCTGCCTCAACCCTGGCCCAACCGCCAACCATCAACCGCCCGCACTCCACCCGACGTACCTACCAGACCAAACCCGCAATGCCCCCCCCACCCCCCACCCCCCGCCAACCCCCCCCCCACACACACACACATACCCAGGGAACGGAATAATCAACTCCGTCCCCCGACAACACAAATTGGCGAAATTGCAAACCCCAACCCGAACTGTGTCTTCCACCGCTCGCTGAGCGGTGGATCATCTGCGATCATCTGTCTGTGCGTCCGTCTGTCAGTCCGTCTGTCCTCATAGGTCGTACGTGAGGGTGACTCGGCCCTCCCGCAGCGTGGCCGCCCAGTTGTTCTCTCGGGCTTGCAGGAACAGCGACTGTGTGTGTGGGGGGGGTGCGGGGGTTGGCGGGGGAGTCGCCAAGGGGAGACGGATGGCGCTAGAGTAACACACACACACACACACATCACAATACGATTGGAGGGGGGGAGTCGGGGAGGGGGGGGAAACAAGAAGTAGGCCGCCGCCTGCATCCCCCAGTACCCCGGACTGGCTGACTGACTGACTTATCTCCCCCCTCCCCGACTC